ATATAATTTGTGTTCCACAATCTCAAGTATTTTAATTTGCGAATGTTTACTGTAGTATAAAAAGCATTTATAGTAGTGATAAAACACTTTTGATATTTAAATGCTCAGATACGAATATTTTCTAGATTTTTTTTTAAAGGAATATTTCGAGAGTGATAAGATAAACTTTCTCTATTTTTCCATTTCCTTCCCTTCTGCTGGACCCCCCGCAAAGAGGCTTCGCTGTCAGGACTATCAAGGATAATCTTTTCTCTCATTTTCCATAGGGTTTCGTACTTAAAACTTCAAGTACTTGTCGCCGCTTCCTTCCGCCCGAACAGCAACATATTTCCACGAAAAACATTTCGAAATTTTCATTGTGTCATCTTTGGAGTGGGCGTGGCGTGGCGTGGTGCGGAACAGTTCATCGAACACTTGAGCGCGAGGCTGAACAATTGAATTGTTTGAGGACCACCAGGATCTCAAGAAGGACTCAAGTATTCAATTGTTAATCAACAGGTAGGCAACAACAGTTAGGATTAGGCTTAAGCGGGAGGCCAGGTAAGCCAGGTAGTTTAACTATTACAGTTACTTCATAACCTACTTAAACTCAGCGGGAGATCCACAGAGAGAAAGAGAGGTGAAGCGGGGGAGGTACACAGATAGACAGACAGAGAGAGAGAGAGAGAGAAGATAACTTCCTTTTTGGTGCATTACATCATTTACTTTTTCGTTTCTTTTTTTTAACAGTTACGTCTAACCACGCAACATGCCCACCCCGGCCACACGATCAATGGATCTCTCATGCCACACACTGTTGCAAGTAGAAAGAAAATTACCTAATTGTGTTGCATCGACAACAACAACAACAACAGCAGCAACGTCAACAAGCAGCGACTTTTTCTACTCCACTTCTTGCTTGGCTAAGCTGCCCCCTTGGCCACCCTCCCAGCAGCAGCTCCTCTGCCGTATGTGTGCCACATGCTGCAAAGGAAAATTAAAAATGTGCCACACACAAGCAAACGTAGTTTTTTCTTCTCCTTACATTTAGTTGCCTAGTTTAGTTAGTTAGTTACTCTCTCTCTCTCYCTCCCTCTTTCTGTCTTCCTCTCTCTGCAGTTCGTTTTGCCTTCGGTTCGTTTCTTTCTCTTTGGCATCGTTAGATAATAGACAACAACAACAATAACAGTTGTTGCATTTGCTGTGTCGGCGGCATAAGTCAAGCAAGACTTCCTATATTTTGAAACACGTTACGTTCGTAACATAAATTCACACAACAGGTTACAACAATTCGCCTCTCCTCTCCCAGCTAATGGCAAAAGCTCGCCCTCTCTCTCTCTCTCTCTTACATACTCTCCTGCTTGATCTCAATTGCTTTAGCGGAGTTCGGTTCGAATTCGTATGGGAAAAGTTTGCGGCGTTAGCTGGAAAATGTGATCAACGGCCATCGGAAAATGATTAATGTCATTGTCTATTGAAGATTTTAGAATTTTCACAGATCATTCTTAAAAGTAATTAAGCTTGAATTTTAATAAAAATCTGAATGCTAAATCAAACTGTTATTCAGTCATCAGGGATTGGTTCTTTAGAAAAATAAAATGTAAAAAAAAATTAGCAATAATAATGTATTGTGGGTTATACTGTCATATTTTCCATAAATCTAAATATGGACAGTAAAATTCTCAGACATTGGTATTGCTTGTTCTAAGACATTTATACATACATACGATTAGTCTCTTATCCTATTATATTTCGTATCAATTTATAAAAGAAATTCTGTGTTAGCAATTTGATACCACTGTGCAGTGTTGTGGGTGTATAAAATACTTCAAACAAGTTTGTTTAAAGTTTGGCCGAAAAACAGATTTAGCTCTCTCTCTCTCACACACTTTATCTCTCTCTTCGTCTGTCTATCAGCTGTTATATAAATTTCGTTCAATTTTTGATGGGAGCCTTATTAACCGTTTTATGCTTGGTAATATAAACTAAATGATGATGAAAGAGAAACAGAGAGAAATGACGAATCAGCGGCAGCTTGAGGAGCGTTGGTTTGATTTTCTTTTAGTGCCAATTCGCACGATCATTTATTGGAGTTCAAACTCAACACACTCGCACACACACACGCACACTCATGCACTTTCTTCTGCGGCGAATTTGAGACAGCATAAATGGAAGCTGCTAACATTTATGGCAAGGCAAATTCAGGTTAGTGTGATATTTGTGCACTATAAAATGGGTCGTTGTTGTTGTTGCTGCTGCACAAGTGGCTGTCATAATGCTGGCAAGTGCTGAGTGTGTGTGCAGTATAGTGTAAAGTGTTCACACAATACACATATGTGTGTGTATGCATATTGCAAAACATCAATATAGCACACAGCAACAGCAAAAAACAACACAAACAATGGGCGATAACAGCACGCAACAAGAAAATAAACCAACAACAACAACAGTGAGCAAACTAGCTAGCCACCAAATACAATTGCTATGCGCAGCTACTTCCGCATGCAAGTTGAAACAACTAAAAGAAACTGAAAAAAACAACAACAACAACAGCCAAAGAAAAAGCGTCGACTGCGACTCATTCTCAATGCACTTGGATATGGGTGCATGTGTGTGTGTGAATGTGACTCAAAGATCATGGCATAGCGTATGAAGAAGTAGAAGCGGCAAAGAGCAACAACAAAATACGCTCGTTTGATATATTGAGCCCTTTTATTAAACAGCGGAGACAAAAGCGAGCCGAGAGTCATACTATTTCTTTAGTTTTCATATCAATGTTGTTTTTGTTGTTGTTACTATTGCATAGGCATAGGCATATGCTTCCTCTTTCTTTCATTGCTCTGCCTAGCATTTGCCTTTGCGCTGCCTCCTTCTACCTGCTGCGCGGAACACTTTTTATACCTGTTTCTGCTCTAGCATGTCATACACTTGGGCGCATGTGTGTGTATGTGAGTCTCCCCAATTGCCATGCTGCTGACCCGACAGATCGTCGTCGTTGTTGTCGTCGTCAACGTTTTGCCGCTCTCTTTTGCTATTTTGCTTCCGTACAATTTTTACGCTCTTGCTCTTACGTTTTAAGGCGTCGCGCGCGCGCCTCTTACGTGTGCCGCGTCGTCACACACTCACCCGTTACGTTGCGTCGTCGTTTTTGTGTGGAGCAATGCGGAAGTGAATTTAATTTATTGTATTTACGCTGCCCCACAGACACAACAAACAGACAAACGGACAGACAGATGGATGGATGGATGGCTAGAGAGAACCAGGAAAGTTAACGGCTAGAAATCCATAAAAAGTTTGTTGCTTCAGTTGGAGAGATGTCTGTTTTAAGCTAGTGTGCATGCGTATGTGTGTAGACGTATGTATTTCTACGTTTCGCTAATTGGAGAACCGAACATGCTAAGTAAATAAAATGCGCACACACACATACATGTACAACTTATATATGAGAACACATAATCAAATTTATTGACGAAAATCTTTGCGTTAAGCAAAGGGTGGGAGGGTGAGAGAGATAGAGAGATGGCATGAGGGAGCATGATCAGGTGCGATGCTTTCTTGACTTGAGCGTGCGTGTGTGTGTGTGTGAGTGTGTGTGTAGGTGTAGCTAAACCAGAAGCAGGAACTGTTCGCTGTTTCGTTTCAACAGCCGCAGCAACACTGTGAACGTCGGCGTCGACGGCGGCAGCATGAGCAGGCGCACAACTAAACAGAATTCTGCTGTAGCAGCAGCGCGATAAGATTTCGCTGACGTAGAGAAGATCGAAGAAGAGAGACGCAGCGAAAATAAAAATTCGCCAACAGGCAACATGAACAAGAGCAAGAACAAGAACAACAAACAAGAAGAACCGTAACATCAATCCAATTGGAGCTTAACGCTCCGCTTTTGTTTCACTTCCATAGAAAAATTGCTGCATGCAACAAGAGACCCGTCGAACCCAGAGCCCAAAACCCAACGCCCAAAGCTCAAACCAAAAACCAAGAAAAAAGCGAGCCAAAAGCCAGTCGACCGATTGCCGTCAATATGGTTCAACAAAATTGTATGTGTACAGTGGACACACAGGCATGAAGAACAAGCTAATATTAGACATGACGAATATGAGAACAGAAACGATTATAAATATAAATTAATAAAATTTGCAATAAAACAGTAAGAGCTAGGTAATATTAGATGTGATAAAAACATAAATGAAAACAACAAAAATATTTATTTAAGACATGTACTGGAATTGGTATTGCTCGTAGCGAGCGCACACTGTGCTAAAGCTTTACAAAACAGTTATAGTTCAAGCTTGATGGGAACTAAGAAAAAAGCAAAACAGTTCATTTAGTACAATCAGCGCATTTGTCATATCATTTTGCTTTAATCTTAAATTGAGAGGTGCGAAATCTTGAGTTCCGTATACATATATATGTATATGTATGTGAATATGAATGTATACATACGGAATAAGTGAAGATGCGGTTTTCTCTTTAAAGCCTAAACAAATCTGAAATACAAACATAGATCTGCCAGAGAGATACATTAAGGCAGTATTGTAAAACGCTTATGCAAGCAGGAATTCAGATTTGTTGACCTCTGAGCAGAAACATTGTAAGCTGTTCTACAGATTGTCAAAACATGAGGAAAACAGTAAAAAGCGAATGTACGAAAGACAATTAAAGCTGGGAGATTAGCGATTCAAATTTATCAGCTAGAGCGAGTGACAACTTTTGCATGGGAGTGTGAAAAACGGGGGGCAGGCGCCGTGAAGTGCGATATGAAATAAAACATATGGAAATAAAAGAAGGTCAGAAAGACAAGTGGAACGTGTTTACAAAAAATAAATGTATAAAAAAAAGGAAAGATATTTAATTTTTTTTTTTTTAATTTAATATTAAAATTAAATCAAATCAATTTCGAAAATCTATTTCCAATAATATTAAACAAATTATGTATGGCTTTCTACCATTAGAAAAATTTCGTTCAACACACAACCCATTGTACACAGTTAGAGGAGTAGAAAATAAATTGGTTTGCTTACCTGTTTGCCTTTGCTCCACTGTGCCGTGACGTATTTCGTTGTTGCTGTTGTTGTTGGTGTAATACCCGTTGTCTCAGTTGCTTTTTTTTTTATTTTATTTGTTGTTTGCTGTTCTTATAAGCTTTCAACGCGGAAGCGGATATGTTTGTCCAGATCCAGAGAACGCGCGTTATACTTGTTGTTGCTGCTGCCGCTTACTGCCGTTGCTTCTTCTTTCGCTACTACTGCTTCGACGCTCGCTTGAACTACAACTGCAGCAGTACTACGTAACGTAACGTATGGTGAACGTCACGCAACGTAAGTGCATGCACTTTGCTGTCGATTTCCTGGTTCTGYTGCGGCGTCGTCGTCGTCGTCGTTCGCTGCTACTGCGACGCGACGTCAAGTGGGCATTGTGAAGAGACTAAGAGAGAGTGCGACGGGGTTCGGACTGTGGACTGCGTTACGTTACGTTAATCCTGTGTTGACCGCTGTTGCTTTAGGTTGCTTTCAAAAGTGTTTTGTATATGTTTTCTTATTTGCCATTGCAAAAAGCGAATGTCAGCGCCAAAAGGGAATGGCACACCGAAAAAATAACAAAACACAAAAACAAATCGAGCGCAATCTGGAGACGTTTGTGGAGGAAGAGCACAGCCACAAAGAGAGCACAAAGTACTTCCGTCTCACATACACACACGTACACACAAACACAAGCACAGCTATGCACTTGTGCTGGTCCCTGCTGTTGTTATTGCTGCTGCTGCTGCTGGCCCTTTTGCACCCGCGCTTCGTTTAAGTAGAAAACACACACACATACAACAATAAATAAACTGCTTCCTTTTCACTTTTGCTTGCACACTACTTGTTGTTGTTGTTTTTTATTCTTCTTTTTTGTTGCGCTCTGTTCGCCTAATTTTTGTTTATTTCGTTTTTATATTGAGAGAACAGCCACAACAGGAAAACTTGGCATACACAGTTATTTAGCTATTCTATGCTTTGTTACTCGATTCTCGACGTCGGTGTCGGCGGCGGCGGTGGCGGCGTCTTTTCTTCCACACTTTTATTTCGCCTCGTTGGCTTTTTGTTATGTTTTGATTTGTCAAGCGATAAATTCAACTTAAAAATTATTATTGCTGCAATTGTTGTTGGTGGTGGTGCTGCTGCTGCCGTTGCGTGCGCATTGAATCGAATTCAATTAATTTTTGTTTAGAATATTTTTGCACAATTACAATTCGGTATTATAATTATTGTACAACAAATTTTGATTTTTTAATTTGTGTTTTCTTGTCTTGTTCCGCAGCAACACGTCCGCTCACCACGAAAGTTTCTTACGTTGTGACTCAAAACATGCGAGTAAGAAATAAACAAAGCAAACGACGAATAGCTGAGACCGAGAGCATGCGCAATTGAGTGAACCAAAGAGCGAGAGAGCACATTGCATTTAAGAGCGCAGTCGTTCTGCTTGCAAAGAGAATCGTATGAAATTTAAATTTAATTTATTATTTCTTATTATTGTCGAAGTCTTCTTGTTCTTGTTAACAATATGTGTATATGTTTCTTCCGAATATTTGCACGTTGTTTATTTCCTTTAACGCCGTGTGTATGTGTGTACATATGTATATAAAGGTTATTCAAAAATATCTTGAAATATGTATTTTTAACAAATTTTACAGGTGATCGAGATGTGCATTTAATATGCATAATTAGTAGGTAATCGTTAATGAACGAAATCAAATTAAATTAAAAATATTTTCTGTAACTCTAAACTTTTATTTCCATAGTTGTGGGTGTTAAGCGTGGGTTGTCGATTGACTTGTTAATCAGCTGCGATAAAAGCAGATTATCGCTTATCAATGAGCTAATAGAATGTGGGCTGTATGCATGCCTCAGTTTTAATTAAGCAACACTGCGGCGAGATTTCCGTTAAACAAAATCTTTTTTATTTGCCTGCATAAGTTAGTGGCCAAGTCAAGCAAGAGCGCCGCTGCGTAAGAGCGGAAGAAACAGATAGAGAGAGAGAGAGAGAGAGAGAGAGAGAGTGAGAGATGAGACAGATCGATTGAGAGGGAGGCGGGGAGGGACTGACAGGTTGCCATAAAAACGTAGCGAAAGATGCGCTCAGTTGCGTTGCATCCGCTTGACATTTTTTGTTTTGTTTTGTCTTGCTTTTGTTGTTGTTGTTGCGTTGTCTTGAGTTGAAAAGTTCGTTAACCAGTTTCCCTCCAACAACGTTGACATTTGAAGTCAAATGCCCATAAACGGTCAGTGATCGGCCCTCCCGCTCTAACGCATTGGCCCAAATTAGTTTGCCGTTGTTGCTGCTGGTGCCGTTTAGCTTAAGCGAAGAGCGAGACGATTTTAAGAGCGAGAGAGCGCGCGGCGAGTGCGAGAGAGCGAACGAGCAGGATTGCGGTTCAGAGTTCAAATAGTCGTCCAATTGAGCCAATCAACATATTTTCTGCGATCAGTAGCAATCATTTCGTTTCGCATTGCACTGGGCGTGTGGGCGAGTGGGCGTGCCGACTGTTGGGTCGTAGGTGGCTGTTAAAGCGGCAGCTACTTAATTTTCAATTTGCTCATATGTGTGAGTTTGTGTATGCTGGTGTGTTGGTGTGCTGGTGTGTCTGTGAGTGCGCTTGCAACCTGCCGCCGTCAATCTGACAAAGTTTTCGTCTGTGTGGCACGTTGCAAGTTCGATGCCCAAGTGCAGATAATAATACATTAAAATAGAATGCCGCAATGTCCAGAGTGCACACACATACACACACACGCAAATACGTTGAAACAGGCCAGACACAATTTTTAGTGCTCACCCCTCTCACATCCCTGAAGAGAGCTCCCGCGCGGGTGAGAGAGAGCGAGAGCATGCAAGAGCAAGACGTCGGCTCTATAAATAGTTTTTCTTTCTGTCTTTCGCTCTGTGCCCCGGCGATCTGTCCCGATGCGGAAGTCTTCCAGACGCTTCACTTTTCACTTTTTGGTCATTTGCCAATCGCACAAATTATTAGCACTAAAAATTTCGCACAGGGGGCGGGGGAGCAGCCATAAGACAACGAATTGCTGTCTATCTATATATCAACTGTGTGCTACATATACAGTTAGGATTTCCAGGCTGTCTGGCTGGGAATCGAGTGGAATGCTGTACCAGATCATTGAGATGATAATGAATATAGTCGGGAAAATTAATTAACGCTAATATAATAAAAGCTTTTTATATATATATATATACCTGTATATAAACAGGATTTCTGTTGACATATGTTAGATGTAGATTAGGACATATCTTTTCAAGTACTCCATCCCTTAATCTTGTCATTTAGCCTGGACGCTTCAGAGATCATCAAAACCTTTCAGCAGATATGTATCTATGTATATAGCTCTGCTCCTTAATTTAATGACAAAAAATCAAATAATATATATTTTATATCTGTAATATCATTATTATATTATACATCTGTATATATTGTATTGTCATTATTATAATATGTAGCCAATATCTGTAGTATATCCATATTATTATTTCAAAAAGTGAACAATTATTCAAAAATTAATTTTTTTCAATTATGCTCAGCCCACGTAAGAAATGTTAAATGTGTGCTGGAAATAACTGAGAATTAGTGAGGCGTATTCCATGGACCACCTTCACAGAAGCAGATTTAAACGAAGCAGAAAAGTATTCCAGAAACACCCCATCCGTAGGGTTTCGAGTTGCTTGCGTTAATTAAAGTGGAAAAAGGATATTAAGTGCAGATCCTGGTTGCCCTAATTGTTACACATTTTCCCCATTCTCTCACTCTCTCTCTCTCTCTCTCTCTCTCTCTCTCTCTCTCTCTCTCTCTCTCTTGAGAACAATGACTAATTGTTACGATCCTTTTTGACATTGTTGCCAGGCAGCAAGTCCAGAACGAGGATCAGGATATATATGTATGTATGTGGAGTGTATAGAATGTGCAGCCAGCTGAGCTGGAAAGAAGAAACCGTGGGAAAGGTGAACCTGACTCGAACAATGGAAAAACCGATCAAAAATCAAAGACGACCTGTGCAACGGATCGCCCACAAATCGATCCATACGCACACACATCGCATCTGAGTTTCGTCTCTTCTAATTTAGCGCCCTAAATGAAACTCAGCCAAGCAGAACACAAAGCAACAAACGAAATGCTCGACAACTTAGGGGTTGCTCGATCCTCGCTCGATCGCCGCAAGTGTTTGGCCTTTGGGCAGATTTGCTTGCCACAGAGACCGGTGAAAGGTTTCAGATTTCATGCAACGAGTGCATTGTGCAACTGCCATGCGATATGACAGACTCGGATCGCAGCGATCGTGGCGATCGAGGCGATCGATCCTCCAGGCCAGGATAAACAGAGAGTGAGTCGCTGCTGTGGCTTCATGCAACGTGTGGAATGTGAAATTTTATCAATTAAATATCGCTGACACACACACACACACACACACAGATACACGAGCAGTTGTAATATAGCTGATCAGCGTAGATCAGCAGCTAAAGTCGTTGCAGGCGAGGTTGGCGCTAGTAACCAGAGCTGAGCATTCTTGGCTTGAGGAAAAAGCTGAATAAGAGATCTAGCTAGTTCAGTTGGTAATAAAGCTATAAAGCTGACTATTGAAAGTTCAACTTTTTTAGTTGAAGTAAAAATGGTTCAAGTAAAAGTAGCTCTGTAGGGAAAGGGAAGATTACATTCTTTTAGTGTATAGTATAGTTCTTTATAGTAATCATATGTATAATTTTTATAATAAAATAYTATTTTTATTTTTACAGTATGTTTATAGTATCTATACTTAAATCTATACATATATTTTTATACCCGGGGACCTTCGATATATGAGTATGCATATTGAAAATTATATTCTATGCCCAAAACACTTTATAAACAGACTACTACTAACGAGCATATGCTCTCAATTTCATGTTTAGCATCCATGCAAGATGAATAGAGCAAGGAATCCAATATACTCCATTCATTCGAAATGGAGTATAAAATGCCATAATATCCGCTGCTTGCAGTCATACGCCCATAGCTGCATTTATATCTGGCTGAATTTGA